AAACCCTAAACCCCAAACCTCCAAGCTTAGGCCGGGGAAGCTTGGCCTGAACATCAACGCCATCGCGACGGGCTCAGCAACCCCGAAGCTATCGCCTCGAAGTATTTTTGAAGGTCTAGGGTTTGGGGTTTGGGGTTTAGGGTTTAGGGTTTAGGGTTTAGGGTTTAGGGGTTTTTGTGGTTTAGGGTTTGGGGTTCAGGGTTTTGGGGTTTGGGTTTAGGGGTCTAGGGTTTGGGGTCAAAGGGTTCGATGAAGACTTTAGGGTTTTGGGGCTTAGGGCCTTCTGCAGCGGAGTTGCATGGTGCTGAATTTCAAGCTCAGTTTTTTTTCCAATCATAGATAGTTCCTGCATACCAGAGCCTTTATGGTAAGAACCCCTAAAAAATAATCAAATACCCCCATGCTCAAGAAGCCTCCAAAAATCAGCTGAGGTCGTCAAGCTCGACTTCTCGCCAGGAGAAGCTGAATCATGATCTGGCAAGATGAGTAGGTAAACTTCAAATTGTTTGTTATGTTTAATGTATATAAAGGTATATATATATATATACATATATTGAATGAACTTATTCTTAATTAAAGAAACAAGTAAATCAACACATATTATAGGTATATATGTATAAGTCTTATATACACGCACTCAAAAATAATATACATACATCTACATACACATATGCGCGCCCAAAACTCTGTACACATTTCATGATTGAAAACGTAAGCCCTATGAAGTTTTAAACCATCTATGTATTATCAGAGTTATGTATGTATGTATGTATGTATGTATGTATGCATGTATGTATGTATGTATGTATGTATGTATGTATGTATGTATGTATGTATGTAGGTATGTATGGATATCTCTATATATATATACATATATACATGCATACATATACATGTATGTATATATATATATGTATATATGTACAAGTGTGTGTGTGTATACTTATATGTCCCAAGTAAACAATCACAATTTTAAATGTTTGTTGAGGTCAACGAGGTCCTAAGCCTAAACCCTACACCGTGAAAACCTAAACCCTAAACCCTGCCTGAACCAAAGCCCTAATCCCTAAACTCAGCAATTCGCGTCTAGACGTTACAAACATCCATTACATCCTACATACATTAAAGAAGTCTCCAGAAAGACTGGCATTACCTCAAACCATATTTTATTCTATTGTAATAATATGTAATTACGCAGTATTGTCTAGTGTTGGTATAGGTGTCCTCCTAAAGTCCCCAAAGTCCCAACCCTCAGGGCACAAACCCTGCATTCTATAATCCGAAGTCTGAGTTGCTCTTTGCAGTTACGGTTTCACCCTTCGGCAGAACTGACGAGCAAAAATCAGCTCATCGGCAGCGGCCAGTAGTTTCGAAGCAGGGGGGCTTCAAAGGTTCAGGGCCCAGAGGTTTTTATAGAGGCTTGGCCAACGCTGATTACTAAACCATATGAACCTTCAACCCCTAGCCCCCAAACCCTAAACCCCATAAACCCATTGCCCTGTAAGCTCTTAACCCCTGGAATTTAGAAGGGTTCTCCAAAACCCTTGTCCGAATGTCAGCGCCGAAACCCTTAAACCCTAAACCCTAGACCGAAAACCCAAAGCCCTAAAACCCAAAACCCTACGTCGCAAACGTCGGAGGTGGCAGCTCGGACTCCGTTGGTCGTCAGATGTGCAAGCAGAAACAATAGCGCAAAAAAAATCGAGTGCGTTGATTGTCCGCATTGACGAGTCGGGCACCCGGCGCTTGAACCCATGTACCGTGTGGAAGCATATTGGTGTCTCGCGCCATGGTGAAGCTGACCTGCATTCAACATGACAATAATTGAAACGTGTAACCCTAATGATTCAGAATGATTGTTGTTGTACCCCGAGTTGGCTGGCACACAAATTGTTACAAGCACGTGACTTTTCGGAAATGAAGCGCAGCTTTGAACGAGCAACTCCACCATCACGAGCGCGATAGCGACAAACGAGATGGGCCATGTAATCATGTATCCTACATGAATGGATCTGAAATGCAGCGGCATGTCCGTGAGCATAATGCCATGGCAGACAGTTTCCTGTGTGTTTGCTTTGGCAACCGCCCGCACAAGGCTGGCACAAATCAAGAGCCACCTTTGGTGGTAAACGAACCTCACGGAAAGGTAGCTGGCGTTCGGACACTGTGCGGTGACACGCTCTTCCAGCAGCTGCGCTGGCATGCGCGCACCCCAGAAATTTCAGGCAGCGGTGCTTCTAGTCGAAATTCAATATCGAGGTTAGCGCAGCGATTCCTTCACAAAGTTGCAACAGGCATGCCCGTGGCCTAACGTGCGTGCAACAGGGTCGATGGTGAACTCCATCAACACTGCTTGCGACCTGGCCGACTTGCAAAGGAGCGGGATTGTGTGAGCCACTTAGCCATACATATCCATACATAGCACACAGGTTCCCGTATTGTCGAGTCAAGGAAGATGCTTGTGGTCATATCAGATGATCTCAGCGACCCGCGGCTTGTCGATGATGAGCCTGGTTGTTGGGCGGACAGCCTTGGGCGCAAACTGACCCTGGAGGCCTGGGCAAGTTCTCAACCATCGGAACAGCATGCAACAACATGCTAGTCTCCTAACATGCAGCGGCAGAGCACCTTTCCCGGTACATGCGGTTACTAGAGCGAAGCTGGGTTTTGAACCCAGACAGATCTAAACTTTGGGCCCCAAAACAGCGAGAACACGTCATACGTCATGATCCCCAAACAGGAAACCCTAAAACGCTGAACACGTGACCTTTGACACTAAACCTTAAATGCTTATATGCTATAACCTTAAATCCTCACACACTATAAACCCCTTTCCCTGATCGAGGTGTTCACGAGCTGAACTGCCCAGCCGGCCCAGCATGCATTATGACATCGACCACATCCTCACAGAATCCTAAAACGTTTGTGGTGTAGGGCTTAGGGTCCTTATAAACCCAAATATAGAATTATATGGTGACCCTGCACGAAGTCAAGTTTTGGTAGGTTAAAGTCGGACCAAAGAGCTGATAATCGTATACTCTCCCACATACTCTCCTACAAAGCGGTTTAAGGTTTCGGGTGTAGGGGTTCTGGGTTGAGGGGTTCAGAGCTCAAGGTTTTTTTTTGCCCAAGTAGCTAAATATGAGGTCCTTTGGACCCGTTGCGCAACCTTAAACCTAAGTTTCCTGAGCCCCCGAAACGCAAGGCGTTTGTCCAAGTTGGGACCGGGATTTTGAAGGGCGCCTCATTCCTTTCGGGATTCCTTTAACGATTCCTTCGGTTCTTACAGGTTTAGGGTTTGGGGTTTAGGGTTTATTTTTTACTCTTAGAGCTCGCGGTTTGTTCCTGCTAGCATCATCGTCCGTTGAGTTGAAAGCGCCGGCCTCCAGCCCTAAACCATGAGCTTTGAACCCCGACCAGGAAGCACTAAAACCCTAAACCTTGTACAAAACCGTTGCCCGAGTACACTCAAAACTCGAACCAGAAGTTCGACAAGACCTTGCTCGCGAAGCCAGTTCTCTTGCATCCCGGATAGAAGCGGCGGGCAGGAGGAATAAGGGTTCTAGATATGTTGAAGAAGGCTTCCTATTTGGTAGCAAGTTGGAACAATATGCACCTTCATTTGGGTTTGGGCGAAATGGGCATCAAACCCAAGCATTTAAACTTTACCCTACACAACCCGGTAGGCAGACTTACTGGACCTTTCATTCATAGGAACCCCTTCTAGGATGTTATAGGAACCCAAAACCCCCCCAAACCCCAAACCCTAAACCCTAAACCCTACATCCCAAGCGGAATGCTGCTAGGAACCCAAAGGCCTCGTGCACACTCCCCAGCCCACCGCCCTCCGGGCAGCGATTGGCCTTCCCCAAAGGGACGGGCAAGATAACGAAGCGAAGATCGCGGCAAAAATGCCGGAGTCGGGCTTCAGGAATCGCCTTAGGCTTTACGGTTGAGTTTACGACCCTATGGTTGAGTTTGGCCTTCGGGGTTCAGGTTTGCATGCGGCGGTTTAGAGCTTGCTTATGGTTCAGGGTCCGGTGCGGATCTGGGGCTGCAAGGCTTGGGGCTTTCAGGCTTGGGGTTAGGGTAGGGGTGTGCCAGGATGTCAAAACATAGTGCTCATGGGCAATCTATAAGAACCTTCGCAAAACTTTTTGAGAAGTCGTATAAGACTTCTACTTCCGTATAAATACTTATAAACCCTATAAGAGCTTAAACCGTTCTCTCCGAAACTCCAATTAAGCAAGGTTTGGGGTTTTAGGATTTAGGGCTTACTGGGAGGATCATTGGGACTGACTAAATAAGGTTATTAAGAAGGTATCCGTACCTCTAATTACTTATAACCCCGACTAAGGTACTTATAACTTACAACTTTACTTACTAAGAGCCTCCCTCCTTTAGAACGTTTATAGATCCCTTCAAAGAACCCGGTGGGGGAGCTGGCTTACTAAAAGTCCCGTCATCCAAGTAGAGCTTAGGGGGTAGGGATTGAGGGTTCACGTAAATCTAGAAGACTGTCCTCCTTTTTTTTGGTTCCGTGTTTCAGGGTGTAGGTTTCTAGGGTTTGGGGTTTTGGGTTTTAGGGTTCAGGGTCGAGGATCTGTGTTTTCGGGCGTTACGCGGCATTGTCGGGCATTATCTGTCAGTGTTGCACAACGTCTGTTTCAGACGTCTTTCCGCTTAGCACAATTCGTGCACTTGGTAGGCTGCAACATGTAACACCGTTTAGTCCATCACACAATGCAACATTGTAACAGCGTTAAGTCCCTCCATCAACACATCCATCCTTGCGTCCATCCACAGATGCATACAAGCACACTGCGCACATGCATACATGCGAACATTCATGCCTGCATCCGTCC